CCCCTTAAGTGAGACCACACTGAAAAAAAATTTTGTGGCAAAATATTTCATATTATAGAAGAAATTTACACACAAAACATGAAGTTGATCAGAGAACCTTGCTCCAATAACCTTTTGCATGGTTTTCTCGTAGACATGCTCATAAAACTAGTTCTAGGCACAGTAAATATAAAATATCTCAAACTTGGCCTCATTCAGTTTAAGTTTATAAATCTGGATTGTAATAAGTATAACAATGTAGAATTCAATATATGAGTTAGTAAAAATCTAGAAGAATATGTCCATAGGACATGAATTCTCCATCCAGGTTTTATTAATAATGCAACTTGAAATCAACCTTGCTTCTTTTCAAGATTAGGGTGAATGGGGAAAAGTAAGGTCAAGATCATACTGTAAGTTTAGTTTATAAAATTATGACAAAGTTGAATACCTCTCACCATTTTGTATTAGTGCATGAAGTTTTATAAAAATATCTTTCACATTTTCTTCGAAGAAAGAGTTTCACACATAGCGATCTTGAGCAGATGCTTTCATCACTGTGCTACGCGAGCAACAGAAATATCTCAATTAATGCAACATTTAAGGATAATAATGTCAAGATCATAGAAAAGTAAAAATCTAGAAATGTTGATGCAGTTGAATAGGTTTTTCATTAATTATTTTTCAAACATATGAAAGTTTAAATGATAAGGTACATATATGTCCTGACCATATTCCTGGCAGACACCATTATATTTCTTACTTTAAAAAACTTAAATGAGTTATAATTTATTAAGGCAGTCAATTTTTATAGGGAAATTAATATGAATGACACATATGAATTAATAGGATAAATCTGCAATATAAATCTAAGGTAAGATTTAATATCTGACAATCCCTCACTAAGAAAAGATCATGAAAAAAATTGTATTGGAAATATCATAAAATGCACTGTAAATGAAATGCAGTGTGTTGAAAATAAATTTTAAACTACCTCGAACATTACAGGAATTTTAGAAAAATATAACTCATTTAATTTGGGGGGGGGGGGGGGGGGTTGAACATTGAAAAATATATTCTCAAAATGGCAGATTGTTTTCCTTCCTTCACTCCCTTTGTTAACTAAAACTTTAAGAAAAAAATCATAACATACAAAATGATCCAAACTTTTATTATACAAAGACAATTTTAATGTCAGTAAAATGCGTGTGAAACAAATTAAAGGAAAACTCGACAAGAAAAAGCAAACTACATGTAATGATGTAAGGGACTATTTTCTCCATTAACACATGTAAATATCACTTGTATTAAAACGAGAGGTAAAAAAGGTCATAATTGGATGCAAAGAAGTCAACTAGTTACTGCGCTGCACTCCGACTTTGATTAAGATATGTAGACTTAACTTAATGGACTATTTTCTCCACAAACTTTATATTAACATGTTATATATAAAGAAAGAACAAAAATAATTCGAAGCAAAAATAACAGTTATTGTGCAGCATTTGGATTCTGATGAAGACCTTTAGACTTTATGTCCCCATTATCATCACTCTGTCAAGTTTGGACGAAGGCTGCTGAAGATGAACTGCAGATTGGTGAAGAACGCAGCACAGTTAAGGTTACAAAAAGGAGGCGGAGCCTAATTTGTACGGGAAAACTTGACTATGACATCATACACAATATACGTCATACAACATTTCTTTAAAATACCACAAAATGAGTTTATCTGCTAAATTTAACCAGTTAGAATTCATCAAACTACATAAAAACTTACTACAGCGTGTTTTTTGTTGTTAGTTAAATCCCACGTAAACAAGTTATAAACAAGTCACTGATCGCAATACACTTGTCAATATGACGTCATTTCTTTCAACGTGACGTAGTTTGTATGCAGTGAGAGACAGATCAAATAATATTTTCTCAACAACATATGTATTCCCTGCTTAAATAAAATATTATTTACAGATATTCTATGGGATAATAACTTGAATTTAATGTCTTCTTCACTATTTTATTAATATATTTTCTGTACATTACATATTTAATTAACACTGCCGTATATTTGTTTGCAAGTACATCGGAGGGTAATGTGGGGGGTCTTAATAAATCGATCTAGTGCAAGGGCATACACTCTATGGATTAAAGTAAGCTTTTACATCAACTGTAGAGTTATTAAGGTATCTAAAAAGTGCTGCGATCCTGATGAAATCTTAAAAACAATTTAATACGGAACTTCCGAGATACGTATCCGATCTGGGTTGTATGCTTTGTTTATATCAATTGTTAGGCATATTCACTTCCGGTTTACAGAAAATGTCATCACTAAACGATTTAGACTTCGATTCCTGGCAAGTACCTGATCTTAAGCATTTTTTATCAACGAAAGGCATTACCTGTTCCATCTATTTGAAGAAACATCTTATTAAATTATGTAAGTTGGCGATAGAAATAAATTTAGAAGACCAAGAAGTTAACAATAATGAATTTGGTTCCTTCGATGTGGAACGCCGAACAGTGAATCAGGTTATTTTACCTCACATCCAGGACATTCCTGCTGATGAATGGCTGACAGACCTAAAAGCGTTACCTGATATTGAGATTGGAGACGTTTTGGTGTGGTTACTTCGTGTAGGATGGGGCCCGGAACGTTTGAAATTGTATAAACAGGACAATGGGTACAAACTGTTTACAAGCTCCCATGTTGACATTGTAAAACTCCACCATTTCGCTAATGCTGCATGTTTCTATGTCAAGTGCCACACAACGCCAGAGACTAGACAACAAGCAGCTCCCTACCAGACATGGATCCTTGTCACTGAAGGTGGACAAATACAGTCCGGTGGATGCTCTTGTGTTGCATAAGACTCATTTAAATGTTTTTTAAAAATCTCAATAATACTCTACTATAGAAGATTATTTGAATTTTTGAAATATATTAATTTCCTTGATATACCGGTAAATATATTTAAGATACATATATAAATTTTTTAAATTTACAGAAATGATGGTTCATGCAAGCACTGTACAGCACTTCTTTTTTTCCCTTTGTTCATTCATTGAAAGACACAAAGACAGACACACCCTAGTCGGAACAGATGTCTTATGTTCTTGGGATAAGCCACACTCTGCATCACGACCTGAAAAAATTCAGAATGTACAGGTTCACAGCTCCAACTTGACAACTGAAAATGATCAACACGGCCCTTGTCATACTGTATACAATCCTTGTAAAAGTCTTCAGAATGAACGTGAAATTGAAAAAAAATTATTTGATTTGTGCAAAGACTAATTCACTTTTACTACAGACACTTGACCCACCATCTGATTATGAAGATCCTAGTGAGAACATTCCAGGATTACATGAAGCAATAAAAGAGGCAAATATCAAGAATATTTCTGTGAATTCACATTTAAAAGCTGTATTTGATCCAGAAACCGTCTTGAGAATTGCAGATAAAACCAAGGATCAGAGTGCAGGTATGTGTGATGAATGGAAAAGACACAGACATGGACGTATAACTGCATCCGTTTTCTCAAAAGTGTTGCATTTTCGAGGATCAAAATCTCATGAAAATTACATTGTACGTGAAATAATGCAACTAGGGAGTGACATATCAAATGTTCCAGCAATTGCATATGGAAGAGAGAATGAAACTGTTGCTAGACAGTTGTATTTTGATGACTACAAAAAAGCACATAAGTGTGCTAAATTGAATAACATTGGATTTCACATTTTCACTGAAAAACCGTACATGGGAGCAACTCCAGATGGTTTAATAATGTGTAAATGTTGTGGTAAGGGACTTATAGAAATAAAATGTTCTTATTCTCATCGAAATGAAACGCCGTATGATATTGCAGGGGACACTTCTTACCATTTATACAGAGATGAAAGCAATGGTAGTGTACATCTTCGCCACGACTCGCCAAGGTATATCCAGATTCAGGGACAATTAGGTATTCTTTCCCTTTCATGGTGTGATTTCGTTTTTTATACCAAACGAGGATTACTTACTGACAGGATTTATTTTGATTGTGATGTTTTTAATTCCATTGTACAAAAGTGTACACTTTTTTTTGAAAAGTACCTTTATAACGCTTTGCTATCACAGTGAAATTAAAATGCATACGGGTCTACAGCATGAATAAATCTGTGTAACATTGACAAGATAATTCTCGGTATTTTTTTTTCACTGGAAAAGTTGTACATATTTTTCTTATGATCATGATGATTGAGCATTACCATGCATTCATTAAAATACACAAGATATCTTAATTCTTAGGCTTGGAATGGTTAATAATTAATTTTTTGAAATATTTACATCTTCTCTGGTACTTGTGCAGAAATTCAAATATAAATCAAATACATTAAAATGTTAATGAGGTTAAATGAGAATGCACACATAACATGATTGATATTTTTCCACTTCGCTTTTTTCAACTCACATTGGATGCTTATTTACAACTCCCAATGAAAATAACTTGATTGAAAAGAAGCAAATATGTTTATATGATAACTTTTTTGTATTTTGATTGGTTTTCTTTTCCATCTTTAAAATATAAGATGAAATAAAAAAAAACTGTTAATATACTTTTATTTCATAACTTGCATCACCAATTTTTGTAAAGAAATGTATTAATTGAAACATTCAACACTTCTTTAGAATATGTATTACATAAATAAGGAAATTATCAACAGTCATAAAATAGATTTTCATAAAATCAATAGAAATTAATTACCCAAGTAAACAAAATAAATGCAAGGGAAAAACAATTGGTTCCCATGCAGAATCATAAATGGAAAATGCACTTTTTTACTTTTTAACAAGTGGAGAATCAATGTTGCACAGAAAAGCAGCTACAACCAAAATTTGATCTGCAATTGGCTTCAAGGTTAAAGGCAGGATACCAGATAAAATTCGAAAGGTCTTTAGTCGTTGAATGGCTCTTTCAACATGAATGCGAAGTCTTGCAATTTGTCTTGTTTGTCTGATTTGTGTAGGAGACAGTATCTTACCCTTTCACCAAGCACATTTCTTAGTGAATGGTGGAATCACTAATTTTGCTTTCCGTTCCAACAAGTAATCTCTTATAACAAATCCACGATCTGCCATCACCTCGTCACCTGGTGAAATCTTATCTAGAAAACCGCTGTTTGCTGTTATAAATCTATCAGATACATTTCCTCCCCAAAATTCGGATACAAAGGAAAATGCTCCAGAAGGAGTTATGCCCACTAGCGCTTTAAAAGTATTATGATTCTTGTAGTTACTGTATGTCTGGCTTTGAGCTGTTGGACTTCTAGGTTTCTGGATAAATACCTCAGTACAATCAATAATTACACGAGTATTAGGAAAAGATGCCTTAAAGGACCTGGGCCTATATTTCCGTATTTTCTGCATGGATGGCCATTTAATCTGAGGAGCAAACACTCGATACATATAATTTATCCAAGTATTGAAGATTTGGGACACACGACTCTCAGATATTCCAAATATATCCTTAAGAATACCTATGTTTAAGTCCTGACGAATTCGAAGTAGCGTAAGAAGGTATTCATGGAACACTGTGAGCTTTCTTTCAGGACCAGGTTTTCTAGCACTGCCCTCTTCATAGTGCTTGTCATCCATGCTATCTTTGCCAGACCAATATTTGAGTTTCTTACATGCATTTTCAAGTATACCTATTAAAAAAACAAACAAATGAAGCAGCTTTTTAATTATATGGTTATTGTTCATAATCATATGTACATAAATTTTCATTACATCTTGAAAGAAATTTGTTTTAATGTCACTTTCATCAACACTTGAAAATATATTTTGTACTTATATACAATGTTAAATGAATTTTACCGTATTAAACACTTACTGAATAGACCAAAAAGTATAGAAATGCTTGGTAATCCAAAATATCTTCTGACTGATGCATCAGAGCATGTAGCTTTATGAACAAACATTTCCTTTGGAATAACTGGCACTCTCTGACTCCATGATATTTATGTCATATACAGAAAGATCTGTTTGGACTTCTGCATTACTGTACTCTGGGTAATTTCTATGTGCAATACTGTATTCATGATCTGTGTGCAGTTCTGAAATTTGTGAAGGTACATGTGAATGAATTATTCCTGTAGAATACTAACCAAAACAAGAACCTCAAAGTTAACTTGCATGCATTACATGTAGATGTATTAATTAATACCATGATATATTATCAATAAGGCTAAAGCTAAATTTTGGAAAATCATAACTTAAAATGACGTTAAAATTAATGCCCATACTTTGTTCCTGGTTTGTTGCTACTTTTCCTTGCTTCACTTTCGCATTCTCTTCATTCACTATGGTGGTACTGACCGTGCACTCACTATGTACAGGCAAAGGGATAACACTTCCATCATTAAGTAGAGTGACACTCTGAAAAAATCAACATACCAGGAATCATTAATGTTGAAAGGTAACACCAATACTGCTTATCAAATAAAAATCTTATATGCAAATGTTGTGCTTTATATACATGTACAGAGTAGGTTGAACATGTGAATTACTTTACTTTCTGAATAAATCTAGCACTTATCATATACATCAAGTAGATTATTACACACCACTGAATTTGTTGAAACCTGAGGTTGGCAATCTGCAGTGTTATTGTTGAGATCCTTTAGGATTTCCCTTTTGGCAATGGATTTCCTGCTTCTCTTCAATGGTGGGCCTTCTCCAAAGTTATTTCGAGGAAACAAGGTAGGTACAGGATGTTGTTCAGATGGACAGCCATCAACGAAATGTAAGGAACATACTCTGTGATGCCTTCCAGGATCATATCTTTCTTCACGGAAAATCTGATTGAGCCATCTGCCCAAAAGGAAAAAAAAAACATGCATTTGTTTGAATGTTTACTACATCAAAATCCAAATTCAATTAATTAATGATGTTGCTTTTGTTTTGAACTTGCACTGTAAACAATGACTTAATTTAAAAACAACTATTAAACACTATATTCATATTTTTATTCAATTTGATTTGAGTCAAAAGATTTATATAACGCGTAAATACATGTACCAGTAAGTGCATGTATACATGCATGTATTTGTATCAAGGGTCTCCGTGTTCCCATGTAGACACGTGCACCTGCATTTTCAACAATAAGTTGGAAATAGTGCCTCATATAAAATAATCTACTTAAGAAATAAATAACAAGTTTATAAACTTCAATGGGAATTGAAGTGGGTCGGTCACGTGATCAAATCCTGTGAAGGCCGAAGATTTGATCACGTACCGACCCACTTCAATTCCCATTGAAGTTTATAAACTTGTTATTTATTACTTATATATAAATTTGAGACAGACGATTGAATATTTTCGAACATATATTATTGCATTAACCGTCCGTCGGAGATTTTGAAAAATGACGCAAAGTGTAAATCGGCTTGAATGGCGGTTACGCTTCGAATTCATCAGGCTAAGGACTTTTATTTCTAAGGGACTATTTTGTGAAAGGCTACTTGTGATCAGTAATAGTGAAAAGATTGTTGTCTTGGAATATTTTTATTCGTGAAATATTGATAATCGAGTGCTGAAAAGACACAAGAAACACGTCCGAAGATTGATGACTAAAAAAGTTGGAGGAATTTCGGTCGCCAGAAAGGGATGGATGATCCGATGAACGGAAACGTGGCAGTTAATTTGCAATCAAGTATTTAAGATCAAAAACATTTAACCTACGATTTCAATAACTAAAGGCATATTTATGATGTAAACAAAACACGGGGACACCAGCTTACATTGTACTACGACAGCGCCGAGGTGTTTGTCAGTTGTTCGTAGCGTGATTGCAATGCTTTGATATTTTCCGTGAGTAGAATTAGATGAAAAAATTATAGTTTATCATGAAGATTTAACTAAAAGTCTACCCCAAAAATAAGGATAAACGTTGGAGACTGTACAGCTGAAAAAAAGTGACATAAAACTTGTCAACAAAAGCTAGTTTCTATCGGTATATTCTCCATATACACAGGTTAAATCGATTGCCAAAAAACTGTATGAAATACTTGTTAACGTTGTAAATAAAATAATTATTTTACTTGCATATATTGTTCATTTTTATACATGAAAAGCAAGTAGAGCAAGTCATTTTATATTTATGCACCGGTTGATATTAGTGCGCCGTGTGATTAGGTCACGTATTGACATCTGACCTCAGGCAAACTTCATACAGAATTGAAGATATTTTTTCTCCGTATGTTTATATAATAGAGAGATACCACAAATGTATATATTCCTCAATATAGAAAACACATATCAGCTGTACATGTGCTAATATAGTCTGTGGCCTCTATTATGTGTGTGGGGGAGGGGTCAATTTGTTCATACAGGGCTTTATTTGCAACTTACTGACAAAAAATCAAATGTCTGTGATAAATTATTTGGTCATCAACTTAGTGAATATTAAAAGGTGTACTGATTAATTATATTCTACCAACCTGCGTCGGAGCGACGGATTGCGATGGGGTCCTGGGTAGGCATGAAACGTCACGCCTTTCATCCAAGCATAGGCAGCTAAATTTGCTTTCTTCCTACCATCGGCAGTACTGCCTGGTACAGAGCACCAAAATGATGAAGGCTCATCAACTGATTTCTTTGCTTTTACCATTTAAACCGCATTAGCGTGCGTCCGCAGAGCGTCTGCTTACTTTCGCTTTCCGTGATGTTTTGCCTAACAATTTGTGTGTTATCACGTGACAGAGATTCTAATTACTGAACCAAAAACGGCAGTAACTGCGTATCTCGGAAGTTCCGTATTATATCAACATTTCATGCCACTGACCAGCAAAAAATATAGCATTCGGTCATACAAGTATAATTTTAAGAATGAAATTGCAGAATTTAGACAGGATCGCAGTAATTTTTAGATACTACAATGCGTGTTGAAAATATTTATATACATAACTTGGAAATTTAACTTGGTTATGCCCTTGCACTAGTGATATTTATATGTAACATCAATACTTCAAGTCAATGTGCTAAAATCGCGTGACTGCCGCATCACGTGACTAGTCTACATATAAAATATAATCGTCCTCGATATGTTGTTATTAATCATAATTACAATTATCCGATGTAAATATTGTACTAAAAATAATCGCCATCCCGATTACGAATACATTTTTAAATACAAAATTTAGTCGATATTTCCATTGCGCACCTTAACTGTACTGCGAAGATCGACATTTCTGAGATCTCTTCAAATTAGAAGTCTTATTCATAGCAATCTAATCTCAGCTAAAGACACTGAATTTCAGAATCTTTAGATTCATGCAGCGGTCTCCAATATATATTTTTTCAATTTTCCTCAGACATCTTTGCATGTAAGCATTTCTCTTCTTTTAATTCTTGATGCAAGTAGTATAAGGCGTCTAGATAGCGCGGAAGTGACGTCATAACCGGAAGTGGGCTAACCGGAAGTGGGCGGAATTGGCCTAGTCGGAAGCGGAAGTAGTCTAGCTGGACCCTAAGTGGTCTAGCGGAAGTGGGCCCTAGCGGAAGCGGAAGTGGTTTATCCATAAATGTCCTAGCCGGAAGCAGGCTGGATGGCCTGGTCAATATCTAGGACATTATGTAAATGAGGTCAAAAAATGGTGGATTCTGATTGGCTGGGAGGATAAGGGGGGTCAACTCAGTACAATCCTTGGGGGTGTGGGGGATAGGTGGGTCAATTCAGTACACACCCCCTATGTCTTATACGGGGTGTTTACACTGTGTTTACATTGGTACGCTGCTACTACGATTTTGGCAGCGACTCAAAAAAGAATGTCATTATGACGTCACGCATTCATTCACAGTCTAGACGGCCTAGCCAGCCTAACCAGTTCAAACTGTTTTTTACTGAAAGACAAGAACACACAAGACAGATTAGAACAAGGCAATTTTATTCAAGTAAAATACAATTACATTTTCTTTTTCTTCTGGGCCTTTTCTGTGGTCAGGGGTAGTTTCCTCTTGGTTTCCTGAGTTTTTTTTCTTCAGTTTTTTGTATGTCTTTTACGAATTGGTGATCCTCCTCTGTACACTGATTAGCCCAATGCCCAAATTTCCCGCATTTGTAGCACGAATCCTGTTTATTTCTGGGGCAATCTGGGGCCCAATGCCCTAACTCTTTGAAGATGTAGCATGGGTCTGTCTGTCTTGTTTTCTTAGTCTCTCCTGATCCCCCTGTTCCTTCTTTTTTCTGGTAAGTGCTTCCTCCTCCTTTCATTTTGTTTTGCATGTAAGTTTTCAGATGATTCAGCTGGTTTTCAGCACCACTCATCTTGTTGTTCATATCATTCAGCTTGTTATCCAGACCAGACAGCATGTTAACAATACCATCCAGAGTTGTAGTCAAGATGCTCATATCTTCTTTATTCATATATTCTTGAAAATTAAAGGGGGCTCCTACATATTCTTCAGGTGTTTTTTACTTAAAGACAATAACAAACCTGGATTTTTTACCCTGCAAAAAAAACTGAAAGAACAAACCTGGAACAACACACACACAAGAACAAGGTTATTTTTATTCAGAATGAAAAAAAATACAATTACATTTTCTTTTTCTTCTGGGCCTTTTCTGTGGTCAGGGGTAGTTTCCTCTTGGTTTCCCGAGGTTTTTTTTCTTCAGTTTTTGTATGCCTTTTATATGTCTTTTACCAATACGTAGCATGGATCCATCTGTTTATTTTTCTTACTCTCTCCTGATCCCCCTGGTCCTTCTTTTTTCTGGTAAGTGGTTCCCTTCCTCTCATTTTTTGTCTTTCCTGTTATTGACTGTGATTGGAGATAATTGGTCACGAATGTAACAAAATCCACTGCTGTTGTAATATTTCAGTTTATCCAACTTATTATCAAGATCACTCACCTTGGTGTTCAATTCATTCACCTTGTTATCAAGATCATTCATCTTGGTGTTCATTTGATTCATCTTGTTATCCAGATCAGACAGCATGTTCACAATTCCATCCAGAGTTGTATTTAAGATCCCCATATCTTCTTTATTCATGTCCTCAGGAAAATTATACATGTCCAAATTCAAATCCAAATCCAGTGCATCCTTTATTAACTCTGGCATGGGAGCTCCTACATATCCTTCAGGTGTCACATAATACTGGGAATTTTCTGAGGTATTCATCATTGCTTTCTATTTTTTTCACCTCTGTCCAGTTTTGAAAGATGTCAACCAAGACTGATCTTTAAATTTTACAGTTTTGCTTTATATACCTGCTGTGGGCCGTGTGCACCTTTTACCTGGCTTTTTATACCTGTTACATCATCTGTAAAGGACCGTGTGCAAAAAATTAGGGGGCCGTGTGCACCTTTGACCTGCGTTTTCTATACCTGTTGCATCACCTGTAAGGGGTCGTGTGCAAAAAAGAAATATACGTTTTACCTACGTTTTATACGAGGGTGGGGGTATAAAATGAGAATAAAAAGTAAAAAAAATTAATTTTTACTGTGACAGGACATAGATGCGATGAAAAGAAAAAAAGTATGTATTCAATACGGAATGAAATACCTGGAAATTTCACACAGGTTAAGAAAATCAGTGACTTTTAATACCAAACCTCAAAAATCAAAATCTACGAATTACTAACCCCCACCGAAGACCAGAGAGGTCCTCCCCCCTGGATGTAATGAGTGGCCGATCGAAATACAATTCCCGAGGATTTTTTTTAAAAAGAAATAAAAATAAAAAAAATCTTGTAATACTACATCACTGTTATGTTATTGTATGACGTCATATACACTCGGGTTCGGGATCGGGTTCCCTCAATTTTGCTTTCTCACTGTGGTGGGCGTGTTTACCAAAAGCGATTTTTTTGTGTTAGCCAATCACATTTGATCACATGATTGGATTTTCCATGTTTTGCCGCAATTGAAGTATCGTCTGCTATTGTTTATAAATACAGACCCTCCGTGGTTTCAGTATCATTCCTTCGTGGCTGATTTTTTATCTACACACAGAAGAACAGAAGAAAGAAGAAAAGAAAGATGGCCGACCAATTTCACCAGGATTTGTGGATGATTCCAGGAATCTCCATAGAACATCATGTGATTGTCAGGCAGCTGGATACAGGGGCGGAGATTAGTACTTTTATATGATGACTACAGAATGACTCCTAGAGCCGCCCAGCAGAAGGAGCCACCCATACACCAGGGTCAACACAAGGAGGAGAACTCCTCGTTCGCCGCCCCCACCACCGCCCAGACCTACTGCTGCTGCTGCTGCTCCAGCCCCCCAGGTACAGGCCCGGAATCAAGGGAGAATTCCCACCTGGGGGTTCCGGGTTCCAACACAGCCCATTTTTTGTAGTTTATGTTTCAGCGAGGGGAAGGAGAACAACTACTGTTGTAGCCGGTGTATCCAGCGACCCTCCTGTTTATTATGTACAGCCCGGGTGATAGAGCAGGGGATGGGCTGCCCCCTCTGCCGTAACCAACACCGGTTACTGGTTCCCTCTCCCAGAGAGCCGAATTTCAAAGAGAAGACAGTTCTTCGGATGAAGATGATGACCAACGGATAGGGGAGATGGTGCAGGAGCTCCTGAACAGCTAAAGGGACCCGGGGGACCCACTGACACCAAAAATGAAAAAAAACCAAAAAAAACAACAACAACAAAAAAAAAACAACCAAAAAGTGTTTTTATACAAACAGCCCTTTTAAGGGCTACCCAATTGTTTCGAAAAGATGCTTTCATATACAGTCGATAAATAAAAAACGTTCTGTGTGTGTCTTAGAAAAAAGATTTTCTTTTTTCAAAAATACAGTCAAAGAAACGATTGTATCTTAGAAAAAAGAGGATCTTTTTTATACAGTCAAAGAAACGAAACGTTCTGTGTGTGTGTTCAAAAAGATTACCTTATACAGTCAAAAAAGAAACATTGTGTTTCTTTCAAGTTATAACACCAGGTCACTTTTTTAAAAATTAACTTTTTAAAACTTTTTTAAAAATTAACTAACTTTTTTAAAAAACTTTAAATTTTTTTAATAATAATAATAATAATAATCCCTTTTTAAAAAAATAAATTCACATCAAAAACACACATTTTAAATTTTTTTTTAATTTTTTCATCAAAAGCAAACAATAACACATACACATACACTTAATACATATATCGACGAGGAATGTACACCTGTTTGTTATAAGTGTGTGCTGTTTTTCAAATTTTTTTTTGTTAGCCAAATAAATAATAATGCCCATTGAAATAATAATAATAAAAGCATCCAGTTTTGTGTAAGATCAAAACCCATTTTGTAAACAATTGAAAATTTCTCTCTGTTGGGTTTCAGTTCCAGACGGGGAGAGAGATAAGTGGAAAAAAGGTAAATAATCCCACGTGGTGAGATAGTAAACAACATGACCACAGGCCCTGGGTTTTTCATTTATTTTTTTCATCGTTAAAGCTGGGCACCTAGCGAGCCTGAGGAACCACCAGCACCAGTTTAATAGTTACATTCACTTTATACACTTCTATCGCCCTAACTATGTTCTAGAGGCCTCCTGAAGAATAGAGATTGGGTTTGAGAATTTCTTTGCAATGGCCACTTTGACTCAACCACCATGAGACTTTTACAGTTTACATTGAGTGTTCTACCTCACTGTTAGAAAAGAGTAAATCATTGTATCTCCTTTTTTTTTAAATATAATAATGAATCTATTTTTTTTTCATCAAACACACATTTTTTAATTTTTTTTTTTTCATCAAAAAACAATAACACATACATACACATACACTTAATACATATGTGAATGAAGAATGTATTTTAGTCATAAGTGTGTACAAATTGTTTTTTTTCAATATTTTTTTATTTAAAAAAAGATTCAGGTAAATCTACAATCTCTTGGTACTAATTCTCTGTTTCTCACTTCAGGTTTAAGAACCCCATATTCTTCATAGTCACCTTGTCTATAAAAGGTTCTTTCCAATTCTGGGGTACTGTGAGACATATCAATTTCTTTCTGTACATGTATCTCTCATGACAGCTGTATTTCATTTGAATGAATCCTCTCACATGATGAAGTTTTCCAGTTTCTGGATGCATTTCTTTTTGTAAGATCAAGTATTGATAATCACTTCCAATGATTTGATCTACATCTTCTTGGTGGCACCCAGTTAAATCAAATATCCAATTTTTGGCTACTCTAAATCTGTCTATTTTTAACTTAGCAATATAACGATTGAATGTATTTTCTTGATGTTTGTTATGATAATGAGTCTTAATGTCTTCCAAGAGTTGAGTTTGGACTTCTTTCATTATTTGTGGACTCTTCTCCTCTGTGGGTTTAAAATCCTGTGTCTTTGTCAATCTTTTTTCTGACATCTCTTTTTTCTTATCATCTATAAACTTGGCTTCTTCTCTAGTCAAGGGTCTTTCAGGGTAATCCAGGTTACCCTCACCCTCTATGGGTAATAAATGGTTATATATATTCAATGTAATCTCTCACATCAAGGATCACTATTTTCTGGACACAATTAGGTTATATTCTTGTTGAGAAATAATTGGTTATATCCCATCATCATTTTGTTGAGAAATGATCTCAATAGTCCCATCTTTTTTTATTTTAATTGTATACCTCTATCAACATCTTTCTCTAAAAGAACTCTCTCTCCAAACTGAATTTTACTCATTCCTTTACTCTTTTGCTTCCTAAAGGTGTTACCCATGGTTGAGACAACAACAACATTACTGAGTGTTTTTAATTTCACACCTTGAATTTATACTTTTCTGTGAAACTATCATGGGAAAAAAAAACCCAAATATTAAGAGGAATTTAAGAGTGATTTTTGAAATATTTGTGATATGTATGTATATTTTGCATAAAATCCCATCCTAGTATTTTAATTTAAGTCCCAAAAACATGGTCATGACACAGTTTCTGATATTAAATAGGTCTTTTTTTTCTGTTGTAAAAGAAAAAATTTCACTTCTCCAAGTAATGTGTTTCTCAAACTCCATAACTCATTGAAAGCAATGAGGTAGATAACTATTACTTGTAGGTACAAACTCCTTTCATTTTAAAAAATCCTGGTAGTTTTCTTTTTCTGGCAAAGTTTAAATGTGATTTTAGTTAACATGCAACTTTGATTTGTATAAAAGTTAAAAAATCATATTTCATTTTAACAATACAGAAAGATGAGGGATACCATTGATCACTATACCTTAAGAAAATGTAATTTAAATCTTTACATTTGATTACATTTACATTTCCTCCCATTTTATACTGAATACCCAACTCCTGTTTTGTTAATCATCTTTTTTTATGGTTAAAGGGGGATAACCTACTTTTTAAAAAGGCTGTTTTGTTAACAGACAAAAAATCAAATGGATTTTTTCAGGTTAAAAAAAAAAAAAAATCATGGATTTTTTTTCTCTGTGTTCTTCTTTTTAATGTCATTTATCTTCTTACTTTTTTCAATTCTTGGTAATAATATAGAATAAAATCTGTATGAGTATGAACTCTCATCATATACCATTGTTTTCCTGCAAGGTTTTTTTTCCACTTCATATTTTGTTGTTGTTGTTGTTGTTCTTGTTTTTCTCATAAAAAAAGACAAAGTTTAACATGAAAATCAAACATGCAACATAAAAAAGATATAAATATATATTATTTGGTAGAGTTAAAATAAATAATTTCCCTTCACTAATTAATGTCTCATCCCTCAAGCAAAAACAATATTAAAAAATTAAAATGTTTTTAAAGTGAGTATAGATGCATCAGCATTTTTTCAAATTTCCTGGAATGATAACTTTGTAAAGCTTAACAATTTTAATCTGTGATATATATGTTGTGATTTTTTAGTTAAAAATTTCAAAGGTCTAGAAAAAATTCTGAAGAGATGTCACTGAGGTTTTCAATTATAAAACACCACTGGCTTCTTCTGGTCCTGGACAATATGTAGAAGGTTGTTAATATGTTTCCTTGACTTATGAACAGAATGTGCTATCTGGAAAAAAAATGTTTTCTTTCAAACAATATTTAAATAAAAATTTCCAATGCTGAAAGGATGATTGCACAACATGAAAATATCAATTCATTATCCCCATCTATAAATTTACCTCTGATAAAATAAATTCCCCTCTGCTAAAATTCCTACATTTATTTTTCTTCAATTTAGCTTCTATACTCC